CCGTTGTCCAGTACTTCTTCAGTTTCAATTTCATCTTGGTGACCAGCAAGTGATGATCTGAGGCTATATCAGCTCCTCTCTTGGTTCTCACGTCCTCTATAGTCCTCCTGAACGTTTTGTTGATGCAAATATGGTCGACTTGGTTTTGTGTAGAGTGATCCGGTGAAGTCCATGTGGTTTAGTGAATGCGCTTATGTGGGAATATAGTGCCCCCTATGACCAGTTTATTGAAGGCACATAGGTTTGCAAATCTCTCACCATTTTCGTTCCTTTCTCCCAGTCCATGTCGTCCCATGCTATCTTCATATCCAGTGTTGTCCGTTCCAACCTTGGCGTTGAAATCTCCCATCAGAATGGTCAGGTCCTTTGTTGGACACTTCTCGATGATTGACTGCAGCCTATTGTAGAATTGATCTTTAGCGTATTCATTGTAATCGTTGGTAGACGCATAGCATTGGATGATGTTCATTGAAATTCCCTCTTTCTTTGTTTTGAAGGAGGCTTTGATGATCCTTGGTCCATGAGATTCCCATTCTATAAGCGCATTTTGCGCTTGTTTAGACAGCTTCAATGCAACTCCTTGTGTATGTGGTGCATTTTCTTCTTCATGGCCGGAGTATAACAGGAGCTCTCCTGTAGTTAGTCGTTGTTGTCCAACTTGTGTCCAATGTGTTTCACTGATCCCAAGTACCTCTAGGTTGTATCTTCTCATTTCTGCAGCAATTTGGAAGGCTGTTCCGGTGTCCCACATTGTACGAACATTCCATGTACGTAAATAAATAGTCGCTCTGGTTGTCAGAAGGGGCATCGGCCTCGTAACTTCCGAAGGAATTCGGCTTTCATCATGAGGCGTCATAATTCTTCTAAATGAAGACCTTCTGACTCCCAGGGCAGAGTTTAAAAGGTTTGAATAATTTTTTCTGGTTAGCGTTTTTTTAGCGAGTTAGTTTTCTACGGGATGGGGACGCTAACCCCATGCCCAACCCTCCTCCTTTATCCGGGCTTGGGACCGGCAGTAGCCCCCGGAGGGACTCCAGGCGGAGTTATTTTTTCCCTTCCATCTAGGACCAATTATCTAGGAGTAGATTCTAGGAAATTTCAAAAGGTGAGATCAAACCGTTTACATCTGGAGTACCCTTTCTCGCACAGCTAGTGATTTACTAGAATTCTCCACACAGCGACACGTAATATCAACACCTCCAGATGGCATATAACGCAAAATTGAGTTTTCGCTGCACTACACACTGCAAAAATAAATATTGGTTAATTAGACTGACATCATTACTTCTGAGGACTAGAGACTGATGATCGTGTCAAACGCCTGCTAACATTGCTACCCTAGGAAGTAAGAACACTCCAAAATGTTCGGGAAATTCCATGTGTCATTGTAGATTCACGCATATGGCAAACATTAACTGCATTGGTGTGTGTGTATATATAGACCAGTATGACCATCACATTTAGTCGGTTCTCAACACGACCTTCCCTCCTCATGACCTGTTTACGTCCATAAGAATAGAAATTTCGCTTAGATTATACAAATTTTGATCTCAGCAGACATAAAGACCATTTGGCAGCATGCTGTGACTAATAGCTGGAGCAGAGGCTAACTATTAAACGACTGAGTGACAACAAGTAAGGAGGCGATCCAAAAAAGAACTGGATAGTAACAGAAACGTTTGTACCTGTCCATAATCTGGAGTAAAAGAAAGAACGTTTGTGATAGTAGCGTCCGAATCGACTGATTACATTTTAAAGTGGGTGGGCTTACGAGAATTCAAACTAGAGAACAACTTTGTCTTGAGATACGTTTCTTTTCGGCTCAATTTTTATATAAACCAACAACTTTGTTGGCATAAACTGTTGTATGATACTGTTGTATAAAAATTTCAGAGTGAGACCACGATCAACATATGGGATTGGCAGTTTAGTGGCATAAGGAATCTAAGTAAATTAAGGATAACAAGAAATTGTATAATACAGGCCTCGACACTACCATGTATTCAGATTTTTCGCTTAACTGAATCTTCTGAGCTGGTATGCTATGTCGTAGCATATATTTGTCCTAAAGGCTTTTGTCAAAGGTGGAAAATTACAACTACTGGCTACTGTTTCATCATATCGAGCTACCTGAGGTCACCCACACACGTTGGCTTTGTTTGGAGCTCAAAAGCTGACGCTTGACGTTCGTGACAGACAAAAAGACAATTTGGGGGTTGTGGTGTTTGAATGAAGTAATGATACCTTGGTACTGGTTGAATGCTCGATTTCGAATTCCGAATACAATACATCCATTAGTGCTTGTGTCTCACTTCTTAATTCAATTGCGTTATTTCTGGGACTCTTAGTTCGTGCTATAATTCAAATAATTCAAAACATTATAGGGGTATAGGAAGTTGACTGAGATTTTCGGTGGCAACTTTGTTTTTTTCTGAACACTGTAGACCGCCTTTGATGACCACTATTATTATGAAAGGACGAAAATAGGCATTCAAGCATTATATTAAATCAAAATGTCCTTTCCCAATTATTAACGGAAGTGGGCTTTAATTTTGTGCATATTGTGCTCCAGAATATTAGAATTATTTGATTTGAATAGAGAATTCGTTTACAATCTAACACATAAGTTTAATCAAATGCCACTTGACCTTCTATTTCTCCGTTCTTACACATATTGACTTAAGTGATATCTTGGTAAATATTTCTACCTGACATGACCATAACCATGCAGTTCGACGGTTTAGGAGACTGACTAGGAAAATATCCCTTTTTATGTAGGAAATGTCTTCAGCTTTTGATAGGAAACCGTAATAATCAGTCATTAATGAGATCTATAATCTGATGTGTTACGCGTAATGGTTTTAGTCTGTTAATTGTTTATCATAATAGAAGTATGTTTGTGAAGATTTACATAGTGTTTCATTCCTGTGGTAATTTGTAGGTTCGTTTCAGGCTTCATAATTGTAGTCGAGGCAACTACTCAATACTACTGAGGCCATTTTCTTATTGTTGCTGTTCTTACACTTATGTTTCTAATTTCACGTCAAGTTCAATATTCTACGAAGACAACAAACTAAATGCGAATTCAGACACTTACTCCATGAATAAACGTTTGAGACTTGATAAAGAAGAATGATGCACGATCAAAAGTAATGGTGAAAATTTCATTTATGTATTCATATACTTTTCATTTTCTTGTCACTCTTCCGAAATCAAAAATTGTTTATTCTGTTCTGCACTCCAGCTTATATTTGATTGATTTGGTTAATAAACAAGAGCATTTAATGCCTTGCAAGCAAAGCGAACTATACGCTCCCAAGATCCTCCCGACTGACTAGCGGCCAGAAGATACCAGTCGGCTCCCTGGACACGTTACTTCGATTCATGTTCAGCTCCCATCAAATTTCATTCATTAACATTGTATTTTTGAATGTCTGTACTGCCGACGAACTTAATCAGAGCTATGACAAATTTATCTATTATAAAACTGTGTTTTACGCTAACTTCTTTAGTTCTTATTTTCAAACACCTTCACAAATAACCGTAGAGTTCTGTGAAATTCTTCGGTTTAACTTGATGTGTTAAAAACAATCTTCTACTGAAGAAACGAATTGTCGCGATTTTCTTCCCTGATCAGGGATGCTATTATGTATTTAATAGTTCCTGTAGCGAACAAAGTCTACGTGACTTGTCTTAGCCTTTGTTCTAACCTTTCCAGTTATCCCATAACCGATGTTTGTTCTTGCCGATTAGCCATGTCTTATCTTGATCATCCCCTACACATGTCGGTATGCTAGTGCGTATATATCTGTACGCTAGCTTGTACCACTTTCATGCTTATGACGACTGAGCAGCTCATTATTCACGGAGATGGCTACCTATGCTACTCAGTTTCACATGCATATGTGTTGTCTCCTAAGGTTTCTCCGAACCACTGAATGTTTGAAACATGATTTTCTGAAATACTTCATTTTTTTACCCTTTATTTCCATGTTGTTATTGTCGTAACATGTTTGAGGAATATATACGAAGTAGGATATGTATTTCATCGACCTCAGTATCATTCGACCATATGGAGTCAAATCCCAGGCCAGTATTTCTCTTCTTTCTGATGGATGGGCAATCATATGATGTATTTGTATATACTTGAGAATAAATAATATCAGTAGAGTCAGTGATTAGTATAGTTTCAAGTGGCTTCGTGTTGAATCAAGGAAATTTTTGTCAAGTAAATTTATCTAGTAGGAACTAACAATCGATACTTCATGTACGGGACCAGGTATTATGAAAAACAAGCCAAAATGAAGAAGTCCTATGATTAGTGAAATATTGCTGAGACCCAACCAAGCAATTTCCTAATGTGGATCGTTAATACATTAAGAGACTGATCAGAGGACGTTGAAGTGTTTACTAATTATCATCAAGTTGTTTAGACCACTTCATAATGCGGGGAACATAATACGCTTTATGTACGGATTACTGCCGCCCAAATTAGATGATTTGGTAGATATGATCAACTGAATACTTAATTGCTTGAGCTTAGTGATAAGACAATCATAATTGACACATCTAGCTTCTTACTAGAATAAAGTATATTTGTCTGGCTATCCGCTGTAATCAACTAACTTGTGATATTAGAAGTATTTAAGGGAGTTAATCTGAGTTTTACTCGCCAATTACTTCTACCACTAATGTTTTCTCTCTTTACATTCAGGTAGAATATGGTAGCTATCGTACCTTCCTATAACCAATAACTCTGTCCTACATCTCAGGTCGATATTATAAATGAAAATTAACCTATGAATCCTATCTACTCCAGATTATACTTATATCGTTTTTTGACAGTTGTTCCTGTACTTAGGGTACGTTGTACATCATTACGCGCAATGTCCGAAGTAGGCGCTACGTTACTATTTGAAAAAGCCTATGGAGTCCATCGCCTATCTGGGTTTTATATTTTATAAATTTCTGCTCACGAAGCAGAACAACATACTTTGGTTATGTTGCACCTGAGTACTGTAGCTGTTACAGTATTTTTACTTGTGACTGCTACCAGACAAGATGATGACATTGGTAAGTTCATTTGATCTCGTATATCACAAATTCCGAACAATACAATATTTTGCTACATTTATTTGTAAAAAGTTTCTTAGAATACAGTACAAGAGCGGTTCAACTTTTGGCGACGGAAATCTCATGTTTTTTATAAGCTAGTCACTTGATCTTCTATCTTTAAATTTAAGGTAGATGTGATTTGTTCCTTAAAACGACATAACCAGATTTAGACTAACGGATCGCAGTTTAGTTGGGTATTTAAAGGATGATGTTTATTCTGTATTATGATTACAGATGTACTTGAGTAGTTTATCGTTATGCTGACAATTTAAAATAAAATTTGCCTAATATCACTTACTCGTTATTGAATACGTTTGAGCACTGACACGTCTGTACAGGTTGATATTTTGGCTTCTGCAAGTAAATTGTCAGGAACTTATCTTTAGTTTTCAAGTGGTAGAAGTTTTAAATCGATCTAAGTAGCTCCGGTTAAGCAAAACTTATTTGATATGAGATTCCTTATTTCAAGGCATAGTTGTGTCTTATCAAATTTGTGGGAAAACAGAATAGATGCATACTTCGAAACAGGATGTATCGAAATTGTGTTTTCTTTTGCTATCACTAGCACTACACATCTGGGAGTATCTTGTTCTTCTCAATCAAGTTCAATTTTGATTTAGAGTTGGCTGCTGTCAGTAGTTGTCGTTAAAACAAATTTCAGATACATTGACGATCAAGGTATCTCAACCACGCAATACTGAGGTGTCATTTTGTGTGGAAAACTGTAATCATGATTCTTAACTACCAAATTAAAATCCTAATTCTTCGCATTAATTTACAACCTACTTCGGTCCTAAAGTCTGGCTTAATTCTTATGTACTGTTTTTTAGACATTGGCAAAACTTGGTTGGATGATTGTGTCAAAGAAGTGTCCTACTTTTCTGGTCTCGGTCTAACTTATCATATTTGTAAACTATTTAGCTGATGCAGTTTCGTGATCGCTTCATGCCTGACGTGTTCGAGAACTGTAAATCCAGAGCAGTTTAAGAGCCTCCCACTTGTCGGTAAAGGTGATAATCAAGTCTTAGCCTGTTGATGGGTCTCAAAATACAGAAATTCTTATATGGGTTTAACTATAGTCGTGTTCCCTCACTTAAAGAGGGTATTTAACTTCATTAACTGGGAGGTTGGCGAGACTAATTTAAGGACGACCTTTGAACGAATCTTAAGTGACCTTGACAATTATTAGCCAATCAAAAGAAAGTATAAAGTGAAAATATATTATATGAAAGTAATGAATTACAATGGATATTCTTTTACATGATTTAAAAACTTGTTAAGGTTTGATTAAGGTTCAGAGGTTCTGAATTCACAATGCATATGGAATAGAAACTCGTCTATTGGGTTAGAGTTAGGTTTACGTGTAAGGTTAGGGTTAGTTGAGGGTTAGGTGAGGGCTTAGGGTTAAGGTTAGAGTTTAGGGTTAGTTGAGGGTTAAGGTCTAGGGTTAGGGTTAGGGTTAGATGAGGGTTAAGGTTAGGGTTAGGATGCTAACATACGAGTTTTTAAATCATGTTAGAGAAGAATATCCACTGTAATTTATTACTTTCTTTTAATATATTTTACTTTATACTGTCTTCTGATTGACTAATAATTGAAATTGCTCAAACGCTTCTGATTGACTCGTCCCTAAATTAGAGTCTCACCGTCCTATCTGTTGTAACCTCTCATTAATCACCTACTCTCTAAAATCCGCTGTGAACCGATCGTATGTTAGCAGCGCGTGTTGAACTTGGCTCCGTGACCTTGAAATTGCTCAAACGCTTCTGATTGGCTCGTCCCTAAATTAGAGTCTCGCCGGGAGGTCTTATGGTTATTTTTACTGAATAGCAGCAAAGAAATACATATACTTACTAAAGTCGAGTCAGAGCTTGTGGTATTCACTTCGGCATAACATCTATTTCCACCTAACTATCCTGAATGTTTCTTTTAGATGTGAATTTCTTTATCAGACTTTTCAAACACTGATCGCACATGTATTCCAGGCGAAATACCACTCAGTCTTTCAGAGCTATTATAATGCTCAACCTTTTCCCGTGTACTACTGCATGGCTTCGTAAACATGGTTTTTGAAGGTTAATTCGATACGTCGGATGCTAGTACTCTACCATAAATGTTTCCGAAGCACTACTCGGATATGGTGTAACTGTTAAGTTGGTACTGTTAAGATATGGTTTGTGTTGCTCAATAATATTTATTTTCTACTTTTATCCAAATCTTGATTTGTATTCCTTTTAGCTTCTTATTATTCGGTCTCATTTGCTCCCTCAAATACGGGATTTCTGATGTTTGGGTTTGATGTTAAGTAGCTAAGATTAATTTCCAGGGGCTCTGGACCTAGATTTCATACAATCTGAAGGGAACTGGTGCTTCACATGGAGTTCGAACTTGCGCGACCAAGCTCCACAGACTGAGATATTACCGCTGAATTATTTGAGTCAAGAAGGCCTTTAAAATTAAGATGCTTATATTAACCGATTATTGAGTAATAATCGGTATTATTTGTCTTGTTTTTTGTACTGATCAAATCCCGTTAGTTAAGCTGCAGTATGGCTATTAATCTAAGTGACTTAACATATCGTAGACTGTTTTAATGTGATGAGGTTGCAGGTATTTGACTGGCGACATCGAACCTAGGTTCTTTAAATGTTGGCATCTGTTGGCATGAGGCACCTGGGATCTTGAGAGATCTGATGCTCGTTGTGGAATTCGAACTCAAACTGCATTCGGTATTGTCTCCAATCTGTTTTTTTTCCATCTCGCTGATTTCTCACTATGCTAACATGTGTGGCAACTTGAAATTACTCAGTAGTGTCAGCTCCTATGTTGATGTTGACTGAACAACGATTCAAGCTAGTGACTTACTACTAGTTAAAATATGGATGTTTTAGCTAACAGCGCCAAATATTCACTTTCAGTCGATTAACTATTGGATGATACGCCACAATGGATTAATGTTTAATCGTCACTTTTTCCATTGGTCATATATTTCCATCTTTAACTATTCAATATCTGTGTTGTTCTAATTAGGTACTGTTTTTCTTTATAAAAATGATAGAGAAAAGCTTAAATTTGTATCTTCCTTACTGATTTTAGGTTACTTTTGGCATTTAAGTGATATTCACTGTGATTTAAAATATGTAAATAAATCATGTAATCTTCCATATGGTAATTATTCTTGTGATTCTCCACTCAAACTTGCTTTAAATGCAATCAATGCAACTAGAATGTTATTTGCTAAAACACCGGATTTTGTTATTTGGAGCGGGTAAGTCAATTTATATGTATACATTCATAGTCATTGAACTTTTTCCCATATTGGTTATGCAATTCTGATTATTATTTGTTCGTGATATTGTCATATGTTCTTATGAGAATTATTGTTTGTGTTGAGTATCGCTGACTGAAGTTCATGTAAGAAATTGTACTATCACTATTTTGTATACGGCTCTCTAAAAGCTTATTTTTCCAACTTCACTTTATCAGATACAGATCTCAATTAATTACAGGTGTTGTATGCTCAAAACACATTATTATTAATGGCCTTATTCAGTATATATTTGGTAGAATATAGAATTCTCAGCATAAACTATTTCAACAAGTTTCTCTAACAAAACAAAACAAAAATACAATATCTATATACATATATACATAAATTAAGTAAATTACCTGAAATTAAGTGAAATGTTTTTTAAAATACAATTAGAATCTGTACAACTTTACATAAGAAGCATGTTTAAGAATAGAAGTTATTAACTAGGTCAACTCTAACAACCTGTTCATCACATAGAATATTTGTTAAATAAGTTATTGTTGAGCTTTCATTACCTTCCCTCGAGTGCATACATTCTAATATATTAGCACATCGTTTTACCATAAGATATACAATGAGAGGTATAAATGAAGTAGATGATTAATATCTAATAAGATAACGATTACTAAGAGTTTGGAAGATTTTAAATATCTATTCATAACCATACTGATAATGACCTCGACAGATTGATCACACCCCTTGCTAACTGCTTTCAGCACTTACTGCAATAAAGCAAAGTTTTTTATCAAAAGCCCGGTAAAGAATAATGGAGAAAAGTATAGAATATTAGGTAATATACAAGAATTAACAAATCGCAAAAGTAAGTGTCGATTATTGCCAAAACCATACAGCTTCTTCATGTATTAAGTCAGACGAAAAACTTCGATAAGAATAAAACATTAGGAGACCAAGAGAGATTAGAAGAAAACGTTACACCAAGATAAATAACCTCTGATATTATTGTTATTAAAGAATCTCCAACGGTACAAGCTTTATGGGATTCCATAGTACGCAAACGGTAAAATATCGGTAGGTCATTGGTAAACAAAATCTTGTAAATGAAAAAGATACTGCTGTTATAAAAAATTTATGGCAAAATAGTAGTTTGTTTATTGAGCGTAAAGATATCGAGTTAGTAATATTTAGAAAATTTCCTAAGCCATCAAGAGCTGATATTGGTTAGAATATTAGAATTCGGGTCACAAGTTTGAACATCGCCTCATCTACTTCGAGTCAGGTCGTTAGGTAGAGTCGCTCTCACATGAAAATTATGACTAATATTAATACATAACGTGTCGGTCAATTAACTGATATGTTTTTAAGAGCGAATTGCTCCAGACAACTGATACCGATAAATGCACTGTGCTAAACGGAACCAACATCGAGTCAATTCATTATACTTTTTCTCTAATCAGTATACTAGATGAAACCCATGACCAGAAACAAACTGATTGAAATGCGATTTATAGATGCATAAAGTCAGAATGTATTGAATGATAACGACTAAAAATACCATGGTCAGTAGGAAGTATATATATTTTTGGTTTTATTATTTGTACGGAAATATGTATTCAACAATAATAATAGCACTGAAAATTTATCTATCAAACTGGATCGTTCAGTAGGTGATATGTAAACAGAGGATATTTTCTTACAAATATTTGTTAGTTAGATTCAGTGTAGTGCATGGCACAAATGTACATCATTCACAGTTACACCAAAATTCGGAATGATTATAGTACTGTCGATGATAAGTGAGAAAGACTAAACCTAGGAAGTTTGATCTTTAAAGGAGGAATAAAATTGAAGAATAATAGCTGTGAAACCATGTCGAATTCTGGATCTACAATGGAAAAGAAACACACGCATGGACTACGCCGACTGGCTAAACCATTTTTCACCAATCCCGATCAACTGCTCGGACTTGTTTACCGAACATCGCTTCTTCAACCATGTAATGCATCTTTACCAACATGGGTTGGTTAAAATGTCAGAAACGTCGTTAATTGACGCCAATTATTAGTTTAACTGTCCTTATGCTTCCTCCAACGTACTCCTACGCATCTGCTTCGGTTGGTAAAGATTCATTGAATCATCAGCTAATTCTTTTTGTAAGAAGTGTCACATTTGTTATTTTGTTGCTCCAAATTATTTATCCGTTGTCCTAGGAAATCGTCAGAAACTGGTCACCATGATGGAAATCAGGAGTGAGGCTGCGTAATCAAACTAGATTATGGTTTGTGTGTATTTGCGTATCCGATACTTAAAACTCCGTTCCTGTGCATTCAACTATTACTTATACACATATTAATATGATGCATTATGCAAATTTGATGTCTAGAAAATGTTGTATAGGGTGTGGATTATATTCTATCACTATCGGGTTTACTGTTTATGTCATCAACTATATATATTCACATGTATTCACGCTGATTTCGATTGATATGTTAGTCTTATTAAACTCAACCTACAAATCTCGTCTTTTTGATATGGTTAGGGATTGTTCTCTTTTTTATCTGCTAATTATGCATTCATTCAAACATAACTGGTTATTTGACAGAAGAAAATGGATTTATTAATGAAAATGATTCAAATTTTCGTTTTCAATACAAATATGACTAGAGTAGGAAAAATGCCACATAGTAGCTTTGTAATTATGAGAATTGTGGCTTAATGTAGTGACCTTTTTGTGGATCGAAGATAGGCGTAGGTTATCAATATTATAGAAAAGATGTTTCTAAAGCACCGATGATAATGGTGAGTTATGTTAGATGTAGGATACTAGTTAGAGAATAGTAAACCGGCTAATGTTAACTATCCCTGTAATGGAATGAATGCTTTGAAAATCTCTCCAGAGCATTTTATTGAACAGTACTGTCATTTATTTGTTTCTTCTCCTTGTCGTGCATCTTCACCTTCATTCAGTTCCCTTGTTAACCACACTTTATGTTCTTCACTCTTCCTTGTCCAGTCCTTTGTTATTTGATCCTGGTTAAAGATATATCTTTCATTATGTAATATACTGTTGCGCGTTGCCGGACTGTTGATAATAAGGTCACGTTTGACTAAACTCAAGGTCAAGGTGTGCTTCAGTGTATGACTGTTATCCTCTGTCTGCTTGGAAAGTTTGTTCGAATCTTTGCAGATAGATATCCGATCTCATCTTGTTAGAAATATTTTTTCGATTCACAGGTATCGAACGTTTGTTTACTAAGTATTCCTTTTGTTGTTTGCCATGTTACTTTGTGTTAGAGAGAAACCATTGACTGTATAGCACAGGCTGTACTGTATGAGGTGTTTTGTATACTTGATATAATTTATTGTCTTTACTAAATTGGAACCGTTTAGATTGAACGTGGAGTTTGTGTTTTAGTGTAATTTAATATGAGTCATTCAAAACGATTTGTATGCTATACAGAAGAACGTAGTTTGGTCTAATTGAATAAATTTTATTTCTTTAGTTCTGTGTTCAAACGGAATATTGGTATTTCGGTCGTTACAACCACTTTATACCTATTACTATATATGTAGATCAGTGTATGATGTCTAGGGTCAACTAAATAAACAGACAGATTCAGTTCATGGTATCAGAAACCGAATACTAATTGATAGCAGTCTTCAAGTATAGTGTAATATACTGTCCCAATTAAAAACCAATGAACGTATTAGAGAATCTTACTTATCGAAGATCGTGTTAACGGCGAGACTATAATTTATGGAAAAGCCAATCAGAAGCGTTTGGGAAATTCCAGGGTTACGGCGCCAATTTCGGTACCTGATGCTCATGTACGATCGGTTTACAGCAGATTTTAGAGAAGACGTGATAATTGAGCTGCTACAACAGATGGGACTACTAAGAAGTTGAAATTTAACAGAGGACGTAGTAATAAGGAAGATTGGGTAAGTAGCACTTCCATAAATATACCTCGCAGGTACTTGGGATTTACGACAGATCAACCAAAAAGGGCCACTTCCAAAAGGTCAGAAACCGATAAGCAACGACAATAATACTAATTATACGGGAATACGTGCAGCCGCGTTCCAATATATATACGGATGATTGGAGAGCCTACCGATGCCTGGCTAGACTTGGATATGTGCATCATGTCGTTGTCAACAAGCGCCATTTTGTGGACCCTACAACAGGAGTGCACACTAACAATATTGAAGCTATGTGATCGAGGCGCTATCATGCCCCGAGAGGTCGATCATTATAGAGCCATTTGAATGAGTTCCTCTACCGTATGCACTACGAGTTCAGAACCTCTGAACCTCTTTCCAACCTTTATAAGTTTTTGAACCATGTTATTATTATTATTATTATTATTATTATTATTATTATTATTATTATTATTATTATTAATTGAACACACAGATATTGGTATAAGGAGGCATCATATACATATGCACCACACAAATCTCATTTGATTGTTGTGAGGGCTGTGATACTGTCCGGGTGCCCAAACCGAAACAGGTGATTTTCTTAAGGGGCCACACCCAGAGCCTTCGATTTAAAAGGTCTAATCTACTAGGCACTGGAGCATCGTAAGGCGATTCATTCCCATGGTAGCCGGTGACCAACGATTGGTTCATACGCCATTTGTTCCCTCAGGATACTGGAGCCCATGTACACCATTGGTTTGGAATCAGGATTTTCCAACTTCCCTAGATGTACTCTCCATGTCCGCCAACCCGGTTAAAGCTCCGAACATTCACTTTTCGTCCTATCAATTTCGTAAACAACACCCCCGCCACGAGAAGGCAGTGAGTGGGACTTCCCTGGCAGGGGCTATATACGCGTGGCCATGTGAGAACATTTCGAAAGGGTGAGCGGACTCTCCCAACTCTCAGCCGTACCAGGGTATTTGGGGGCTTTTGAACCATGTAAAAGAACTATATCCACTTTAATTCTTTGGTTTTTTATAATATATTTTTACTTCATACGAACTGTCTTCTGATTGGCTAATATTCCTCAAGGTCATTTAAGGTTCATTCAAGGGTCGTCCATAAATTATAGTCTCGCCAGAATACGAAATCCATGTACTTGATCTGTAACAATATCATGTGTCTCAAACAAAATGGTAGTTCTTGAATTGTAAATGTTGGCGCTAATTTTTTTTTGAACTATTGTATCTTTTACTATTCACTTCTAATTGTTGTTATGATTTCGGACAAATCAAGTGAAGCAGTATCCAAGGTATACTACGAAGCAATAGAATTATAACAAGATCTCATTTAATTTTGCATTATTTCCGTCTCAACTTTCTATTATTCCTTGTATCATTAATCTTGATCATATCACTTTTGCTTTTATGAATTCTAACACCTTAGATTGTTATGTACATTTATGTCGAGTCTGGTTATTGTTAAGTCGTTGTAAAACAATCAAATCTGTCTGTGAAAACCCTAGAGTACCTGATACATTTTCCACCATGTATTCTTAAATAAGGTTTATATGTCATCCATTCATCGTATTCTTTTGTTTCCAGGGATTCAAAATATGATTCTAACTCAATTAAAAAAGGTTTTCTTGTAACACTTTGAAGTTGAAGAGGAATGGTGAGAATGTAAGTAGTGGTGGTGTGGATCTGTTGCCTGGAGAAAGACTTCTCGACCTTGAGTATGCGGACGATGTTGTCTTACTGTGCGATAATGCCCAAGGCATGCAATCCGCACTTAATCAGTTGGCAATCAATGTCCGTAGGTATGGTATGTGCTTTGCACCTTCGAAGTGCAAAGTACTTCTACAAGACTGGCAGGATCCCAATTCTGTACTCACCCTGGATGGTGAGCAGATAGACGTAGTTGAGAAGTTCGTGTATCTGGGTAGCTGCATAAGTGCTGGTGGGGGTGTGAGTGATGAGATCAATGCACGAATAGTGAAAGCCAGAGCGGCTTATGCCAATCTGGGCCATCTTTGACGCCCTCATGATGTTAATCTGGCTGTAAAAGGTCGGATCTACAACGCGTCGGTGAGATCAGTTTTGTTCTATGCTTGTGAAACCTGGCCTCTCCGAGTTGAGGACGTTAGACGACTCTCTGTGTTTGATCATCGCTGTCTCCGAAGGATTGCTGACATTCAGTGGCAACACCATGTCAGTAATGCAGAGGTTCGGCATCGTGTGTTCGGGCACAGAGATGATAACTCAATTGGTGTCACCATCTTGAAACACCGACTTCGGTGGCTTGGACATGTTCTCCGAATGTCGTCCCAGAGAATTCCACGTCGTGCATTATTTGCCGACTCTGGGACTGGTTGGAAGAAGCGGAGAGGTGGTCAGTGCATGACATGGTGTCGTGGCATGAAAGAAAGCTGCAAAGGACTGGCTTGTGTTGGTCCTTCACGACTCCCTGGCTGGGGTCCGAGAGATGGTGCAACACAGTGGCTAGAGACGTTATCAGATATGGCTCAGAATAGAAGCCAGTGGCGATCCTGCTGTAACCTTCTTTTACTTTCTTCATAAAAAGTGGTTGTGTCTCCTTTACCTGAAAGATTTCTTCTGATTGTACCTCTTCGTCATTACTCTCTTTTTCTTTTGCGTTCCTTAGTTTTTTTTTTTCTTTCTACTTCTCTTCGAATTCCCATTGTTTTGTGTGGCGCATATATATTGGCGCTCTCTTGTACCAATATTTATGTGTTCAAATAATAATAATATAATAATAATAAACACTTTGAAAGTAACCAAAATTTGTGGTTATTTTCATGTTTTCTTCATTTTATTATTTGTTTACTGACCACCCTCTAGTGATAATGGGCCACACGATGACAGTTTGACATCCGATCAACTTTTGGATGGCATCCGGTTAATAAGTAAAGCGTTGAAACAATCATTTCCAGTGGATGAAGTTTACATTCTACCTGTATTAGGTAATCATGATGTTGTGCCTGCAAATACTATGGAAATTACACCACAAAGTCGTTCACGTTTTGAATTGTGTCACAAACTTGGTAATGATGTAGATTTATGGGGTGAATGGATTAATCATCGACAAAAGAAACATTCATCATCATCACGTTCCTCTTCTTCTTCCTTCTTCTCATCAGAAAATTCATTCGACTTTCCAATGGCTAATTTCTCACAAAGTAAGCTTTAATTCATTAAATTATGTTGTTGAATACTGTACATTTGAATGCATTTTCTATTCTTCGGTATCAATAAGTTACCAGATTATTCTGTTTTCTCAGGATAGTATGGATTAAGAAATAAATAAATTAGACAATATTCTATGAAACAACGGTTATCTGACTAATTTTCTCAAAAGTATTTCTCTAAACTGACAATTAGAGTACAAGCTGACATGGTCAGTAAGAAAATAAACCTTTATCTATGAATCGATTTTAAAAGAGGCATAATGGGCGATATCTTATCATATTAACTTAAAAGATCTGTTGAAAGAACATTTGAAACCGTCACGTTTTATATTGTCTTTTCAACCAAAGTTATGCTTATACAATGATGCCTATAATATCCTCCTCAACGTTTGCATATCAATTCCTGTGAAGGTAGTTACATAAGCTGTACTCACAGAGAGAGGAAGAGAGAGTACTAATATCAGTGTTTGTGATTGGGAAATATATCGAACGTAGAGAAGAATATGGTGTGATATAAAGTAAGTAAATTGAAGAAGGCAAAAGTGATATACACTAATAGTCGATCTTGAAAGGTAGTTTATGAATACATTGGTCTTGAGTGCAGATAGAGGTATGAGGGCGGTTATCACTTCCCAGTTGCCCACACCGTGGAAAGGTTCTTCTGGAAGTATCTGAGAAGGAAACTGGATTAGGGCTGGTCTTAGTGACCTGAGAGCGTAACCGTCACACCTCTGTACATTCAGCTGTACGACTTTGCCTTCGGACCTTGCGTTTGATATTTTTAGTCTTACCATTCTTCAACTGACTTGTCTGGTGTAGTAGGATCTCGAGAAACGATTGTTTCACCAGTATAGCTCGACTGCTTCATCACGATAGACAATCCCGACCACCATGTCAAGGTAGCAATAGCGATCGGGATACAATAGTAGTGGGTGCATCTGTGTCAATGTGATTAATCCCTAATAATATCACTCATCATCTCATCTCAAAACCTATTAATCTAGTAATTGTAAAACAGAAAGTATGAATTCAAATAGTTACTAGTGTAATTAGTATAAGATTCAAAGGTCAAAGATATTACATCACTGTCGGGTTTTAATATTGTTATCCTAATTTGAATATGTGTTAAGCAATGAGTTTTGTTCAACGTCATACTCAAGGTATTTATCAATGATTTCATGGAATGCAAATAGTCGTCATCTATTTACATAGCAACATTTTTATAATTGAAATAAGATTAAATCTTTTTTTCTTCTAATTTTATTTAATATTTTGGTTTGTTCCGAGTTCATCTATTACATCATTATGGAATATTTGAATTAAATCATTACTGTTAGTTTGATTCACTTTTAACTTTAATCTCTATTGATCTCTATAGTTGTTTTATCTGTTTAAAGTATCTCATTTATTATAATCACATAGATACTTATTTCATTTGTGATTATTATTATTATTATTTCAACACATAAATATCGATACAAGAGGGCACCAAATATATATGCGCCACACCATATTTTTGTGTGTGGGCTGTGATACTGCCAGGGTGCCCAGACCGAAGCAGATGGTTTTCTTAGGGGGCCACTCCCCGAGCCTTTGACCTAAAAGACTGATCCACAAGGCAGTGGAACATCGTGAGGAGATGCAGTCCCATGGTAGCCGGTGACCAACGATTGGTTCATACGCCATGTGTTCCCGCAGGATACTGGAGCCCATGTACACCATTGGTTTGGGATTCGGTTAAAGCGCCGGACATTCGTTTTTCGTCCTCTCATTTTCGTAAACAACACCCCCGCCACGAGAAGGCAATGAGTAGGACTTCCCTGGCAGAGGCTGTATACGCGTGGCCGTGTGAGAGCATTTCGAGAGGGAGGGCGAACCCACCCCACTCTCGGCCATACCGGGGCATTTGGGGGTATTTGTGATTATAGTATTCTTTGAGCTAAAAATAGTTTGATTCTAATGCTTTCATTGTTATTCTAAACAATATATCTCCCTTTGAGCTTCAGTTTGGCTTTTGCCAACTCACGTCACCTATGGTAAAGGTGAGATATTCGTCTATCAATTAAGGGATGACTATGCTGCACGGCAGTTCGTTCTGTTTTACTTTACGGCTGAGAAACGTGTCCACTAAGAGTATTAGGGAACGATGTTAAATCAGTTGATGAGGTTGTTAATATTCATCGACTGAGATGGTTGGGCCACGTTTTACGTATGTCTGAACACCGATTATCACGACACGGAATGTTGACTAGTGTTGGGGATGGTTGGAAGAAAGTTAGGGGCGGCCAACCCAAAACGTGGCACTGAAGTGTCATTGAAGTCACTAACTTCTAGTGTTAACCATATTGGTAGATGCAGACTACTTGGTTGGCGTCTACATGACTATCGTAACCAATGGTTGGAGACTGTAGATGACATGACTCAGAATCGATCACAATGGTGTAGATATATACACTCTCTGTCTTCCTTTAAACTATGAGATTAAAATCGCTTCATATCATTCTACCAACTAATTCTTTCAACTTTTACTATATCCTTATATGTAGTCTTTCTTTTACACATTACTAGCATTGAAGAGTCTACTATGAATCCGGTGTTCATTTTGTTGTTGTAATGTGGTGTGACAACTTCGACCGATGCACATATGTGCCTGGTTCTACGTTGTAGTTGATTGACTGATTTGAATTTCAACTCTGCATTTCACTACTGTTTATTTTGTTCGATGCTAAACACTAAAATATGCTCGTTCTTCATTCGATTGTGAGTGTATAGATAGCAGTCAAATATGTGTAGACGTGTTCGCTATTCATAGTATCTATTACTGACTAACTGACTGACTTACAGTGCTCAATTTAAAAAAGGGTGATAGATATATTCCATGCTTATTTCTGGATTACTATTTCTCGTTTGATTCTATTTCATATTTATTTATTTATTTAAACACACAAACATAGGTACAAGAAAGCACTAAGTAGATATGCAACACATAAATCATTCGATTTGTATGAGGGCTAGGATACTGCTCGGGTGTCGAAACTGAAGCAGGTGGTTTTCTTTGGGGGATCACACCCGGAGCCTTTGACCTAAAGGTCTAATCCACAAGACAGGGGAGCAACGTAATGGGATGCAGTCCCATGGTAGCCGGTGATCAACAATAAAGCGAATGTATTTGATTTTTATCATTATTTGATTTGTTATGAAGCAATACGCCTAATACTTGTTAGAACTGTTGGGTTTCAACTGATCGGTTAAAATTTCGAATCCTGTCCTTCATCTTCTTTTCTTTGAGCTTTCACAAGTAGAGTGTATGGCCTACAGGAGAAACATTAGGCAATCATACTTGATAAATGGGCTATAACATAACTTCATTTAGAATCTATAACTCATTACGATTGCTGCTTCAGTGACATGGTGGTTGGACTTTCTTAATGTAATGACTTAGTCGAGCTGTATTGATTGAAACATTCATTAATTTAGGTCCTACAGCGACAGCCAGTTTGGTTGGACAGCAATAAGACTAAATGTAATCACCTGAATTTCAAGAACGAAGCTGTACTGCCGATTGTATGAGTGTGTGACGACAGTAATATATTTCTCTCATACAATCAGCATCTGCAGCGATACTCTCTTCACACAGTAGAAAAATGTGGGGTATTGCAACTTGGACCGATGCCTATATATGCCTGATCCTACGTTGTAGCTGACTAACTGACTGACTTAATGTAAATTATATAAAAACCTCCCTTGACATAATATAAATTGATCATCAATAAATAAATAATCATATATTGTCAGCTATATACGTTTATATTTATTTATATAAAAAAATGTGATCATCTTATGATAACCGATTTTTCTAAAATAGAAAAAGATATAATTTGAGTTCTATCATGAACTTTATCCAACTTTTGTTGATCTAACTATCTTTCATACGTCTCAGAATGTGAATGAATCACATGACTAGTCACATTAAAAGTACTACTCTAGCACAAATGATAAGGAGGGGGGGATAGTAACGGGGGATTGAAAAAAAAAGTTTTCTATTTTCTTCCTTTTTAAATGTTTTTTTTAAAAATTAAAATAAAACTAATATATATATATATATATGGATAGTGACTAACAATAGAATCCAGAAAGCACATTGCATTCTATTTTATGACTTGTTAGCTAGATTTACGTATATCGTAGTATTGATGTTCATACGAGGACTTGAGCTTAATATTTTTCGATTTAAACATCAACACATTATTCACTGTGCTACTGATTTCAGATAGTTAGGTATCTCTAGTTAACGAGCTTCAAGTGAGGGAAAAAAGTCGATATCCTGGATTTCACCGCTTACGGGTTATTGAGATTAAACAAGAAGTTACAACTAAATTAACCATAATAACAGAATCCTTTCAGGATGTACATTTACCAATAGAGACGGGTCAGTTGGAATCCTTAATATCTACTGTGAGAAATGCAACTCCTTAAACATCATATGTATATATTGAAAATGACTCAAGTTATAGGATAATTTTAAGTAAACGGAATACACTCATTAAGACATTAAATAAAAAAGATTAGTTCAGTGAATAGTTCTCTTTTCGGCGAATTCATTTTCGAAGCTGTACAATCGTAAATATGAATACTTATTTTTTCAAGATGATAATAAACTTCTGTTAGACATGGTGACAGTAAGGTTAAATAAACAAAGGTATGAAAATATCTAAAACAAGCAAAGTTCAATAATTGTTCGCACTGAATAGCTTACATATTCATCAAAAGAGATAGATAGGGAAATTATCATTGGGAAAGGATGACTCACTATGATAAGATAAAATGTTGAAATTGAGATTAAAGGTAATCAGGAGGATCGTAGAAACAGAGATAAACCAGTTGGGGGTTAGAAGATTTAAGGGGAAGATGAAAGGTGAAGCAGATGGCTGTAAATGAAGAGGAGTATAAAAATGAGAAAAAGTATTGTAAGACATTAAGACCATGTTAGA